TCTTTTTTTTTTTTTTTTAAATCTTTTAGTTATTTATCTGATCTATTCAATACAGGGTCTCACTATGCAGCTCAGCATCAAGCACAGCTTGATTATAGCTGATTACAGGTGTGTGCCACCACGCCTGGTTTTAGGGCCAGCAACCAGTGGCCAGGGTTCCAGGGCAAGGCATGCGGTGCTGGGGATCAAATCTGAGTCACTGTGCTTGCCAGGCAGGTGCTTAGACCAACAAGCTATCTCCCCAGCCAGAAGTTCCATTTCTACGATACTGGTGACTGCAGGGACAGAAGCGGGAGGTCACTTAGTGAGCACTATTTACTGTACTATCTGATCCTCTGCAGTACTGAGGATCTCGCTAGCAGCAATGGATCTAGCAGGGCTCCGTACTTGCTGGGTGAGCGCTCCCCCGAGTACATCCCCAGGTCTGCAAGGTTCGACATACATTATCTCAACATCTGTTCCCAACTCTGCAAGGAGGCACTGCTCCCTATGAGCAGGCGATAAAGAACCTAGCCTGACCTGGGCGTGTGCTCAGTGGCAGAGTGCTTGTCTAGTATGCACCAGCCCTGGGTTCCATCTCCAGTACCTCAAAAGAAAAAGCCTGAATCTTACACTTTGCTACAGTGAGAAGTCTCAGTGATACACTTTCTTCCTACAGATCTGGCAGCCTAAAAAACCCCTACAGTAAGATTTTTGGTCCAACTAAGACCAGAGCTGAAGCCTAGGAAAGCTGTAAACACCTTGAGCATGTTACCAAAAAACAAACCTGCAACCAGAGGCCAAGCAGCTGAGCTGTACTTGGTGCTGGGCGAAAGAGACTCACCGTGATGAACCAATAGGAATTCACCCTGTAAACCAGCCTGGACAGGAAGCCAGCCTGGCTGATGGGCGCCAGGACGTGCAGGTGCAGGTGCGAGATGGAGCAGAAGGGCGGCAGGTGGAAGCCCATCCTGCAACAGACATGAGCCGGCTGAGGCCTCTCCAAGGCAGGTTACGGCTACTTCTCAGGTACAAACATGCAAACGCTAAAGATACCCAGAACAGGCTATCCGGGACAGTGACACCCAGGAATCTTCTGACTTTTCTTCATACATCTTAGGAGTATTGGTACAGCTCCTTTTCATGTTGAAATTTAGAGTAATGAACTCCTTATCAAGGAAGGTCTTAGCAGCACAGTGCACTTCGGAATAACCATTATATATTCTAAGCTGACATTTTTTAGCTCTGCAGTCCTGATTGCACTAAGCCTTAATTCTGCTAAGATATGCCCCTGCAAACGACTGGACACTTGGGTACAGCCACAGCACAGCCAGCAGAGGGCGCGCTTTCCCCTTCAGTGCTGTGGCAGGCATCGCCCTCCCAACCACCATTCCATAATGGTGTTGATCAAGCAGCATGTAGAAAGCTTTTTTTGTTGCAGCAGAGAATTTTAGGTAAGTGTTCTACCAGGTGTATCCTCAATTCTTTTGAAACAAGCTCTCAGTAAGTTGCCTGGGCTGGCCATGAATTCTGCCTCAGCCTCCAAAAGAGCTGGGACACATATGTGCCCCGCTACGCCGGCATCACCTCCATACCTTATTTAATACCATACATGATTGTTCGCTGCATAAAACACAAGAAAATCTCTTAAGCAGAGTAGTCATTAAAATATGATCTCCTTCCTCCAACTCAGTTTGCAAGCAGCACTACCAGCCCGCTTACGCCCAACAGAGCAAGGCCGCCCTGAAGGACCCAGGTTCTCAAGCAGAAGCAGGGGCACTAGGAGGCAGTCCAGCGTGACCACCTCGGGATGAGAGGGTGGGACAGACCTGCTCGCACTCGCCTGCGAGGGACGGAACTGGGTTTTCCTGATGCACAGGAATCTCAGGCAGCAGCATCAATACAGGATCCAGAAGAAACTCAATGGTTTACTCATCATTTCATTTCAAAAAACAAAACCAATTATGAGCCAGGCACAGCAGCACACGCCTGCAGCGCAGCTACTTGGGAGGCTGAGGCAGGAGGACCGTGCAGGCGCAGGTGTTCCAGGCCAGCCTGAGCCACACACCAGAGAGGCTTTGTGCACAGTCATGGACAGAAAAGGGCAGTTCCAGCCCGGGGCCTCTGCTCCTCCCTGCGCTCACTCTTCTAATCAGCGCCACAGGCTCGGAAGGCACGGCTGTGCTTCAGGCCGAACTCACGCAGCGCCGGGACCTCAACCGCACACCGGGTGACGCTGGCAGGCAGAGGTCTGCACGCCTACGAGCTTGCTGAGCTGCGAGCAGTGGTGCAGGTGTCGCCAGAGAGGTGAAGGGCACATCTGCAGTCCTGCACGTGGCACGGACACGTGTGGATTCCGGGCTCAGGAGTGGAAGGAGTATCTCTTCTACCCACACCTTCGTGCTGCCCACCTCACACAAGGCAAACCTATCATCTCTAAGGTCAAAAGCACTGTGTAGCTTGATTAAAACACGGAACGCGTGCTGCTTTTGCTCAGAGTTTGGCAAATACTAGAAATAAATTTGGCAGTGATTTCAAGTTACCTTTATGCTAGAAATCTAGCAACGTTTTTATTCATTTTAGTGAGAAAAAAAGATAAACTAGCAATCAAAGTTTCAAAACAGGTTAGTAGGACACTTAAAATAATACAATGCATATTGTTGTCTTCATAGTATTCAGAGGACAAGATGCAGACATGATATCTTATCTAAACAATATTAGTACAAAAATTTCTTCTCATTGAACTAGGAGAAAGTAGCTGTGTATCTATCCTATCTTGTGTGTGTGTGTGTGTGTGTGTGTGTGTATTTTTTTTCAACAACAAAATGGCCCTTTATATATCTCTCCCTTTTTCTGTTGTTTTGTCAGAAATGGGTGTTCCAACTGCAGTTAGAAAACCTATATTTGAAGAAGTCTTTAAAGGACCTTTCATACTTGATGCCAGTCCAAAGATTGTAGGTATGTGAACTCAGCAGACTAATCCAATATAGTCCAGTAGTCCACAACAGTAGGGAGTTATCAGCACAACTGGCAATATTTTGGCCCCAGCCCTTCAAGGTCAGTGAGGAGATAAGAGAACCTCTGCTGTGACATCCTGTAACTACGTGGTGTCCCAAATTTTCTGATCAAGGAGATTATGGGGCCACAGAGGAAAGTGATCGACGATGTAGAGCGTGCCGAAGGAGAATCTCATGGAGAGAAAACATTCTCTCAGGGTTTACAGAGCACAAATTGGTCAAGCAATGGCCGTGAATCATCCACATGGCTGACGCTGACAAAGGATCTACTAACTGCTATACATGGTTGCAGGGTCAATCCTGAGGGGATCTGACTGACCTTGTCAGATACAGAAGTTACATTTCTTGTTATATAGGTCTTGCTTTAACTTGGTCTTGACCATCCAGCAGAAAAGTGTAACCACACAGTATAAAAAGTAAAGCAGGGGCCGGGGAGATGGCTCAGTAGAATAAGCACTTCCCTGGCAAGCGCAAGGGCCTGAGTTCAATCCCCGGTTCCACAAAAAAAATAAAAAAATAAAAAGTAAAGCTATATTAATATGCTGAGCTGTAAAAGGCTCAAGTAAACACCTTCTGACAATTGCCAGTTGTGCTAATAACATATTTTTTAATCACATAAAAGTTTAAGAAAATTCATTAAATGTAAATCAATAGGCCTTGGGCAGATAGAAAGAACAGGAGAGGACTGAGAACTGTTTTAGCCACATATGTGTTTGTCTATTCACTAAACTCAGTAACATCATTAATCTGTCTGACTTATACATACCTCACATCTGTGCAATCTGTGAAATTATTCTTTTCAAGAATGGTTTTTCCAACAGTTACCATGTTCTCAACTGTAAAATGAGGGGAAAAAATTATACCAGAGGAGACACTAACATCCTATCAAGTAAGCAATTTCCTTGGTTTTTTTCTGGTGGTTCTGGAGACTGAACCCAGGGCCTTCAACCTGGCTTGAATTTGAGATTCTCCTGCGACAAATACATTAAGACTCTTTCATGGGGCCAGGGAGATAGCTCAGTGGCATAAGCACTTGCCTGGCAAGTACAAGGTCCTGAGTTCAATCCTGGCACCAAAAAAAAAAAAAAAAGAGAGAGAGAGAAAGAGCCTCATTCCATAGCCTTAAATTACCCAGAAGTCTGCAGGGCCACAACTGACATGAAGGCTCAAGCACAGCCCCGGGGCAGGGTTACCTTCCAGAACATCCTGTGGACAGCTACTGTCCGTGGCTATTCGTGTCATCGGATCACACTGCAGTCTCATTCCAATCATAAGTTAACTAAGTAATACAAATTGCTCAGATAAGAAGCATTCTCATTACAGCATCATTCACAATGACCAAGATATTAACCTACATGCTTATCAATAGGCGAATGGAATACATCTCTATCTGTGTCAAACCAAATGGTATTCGAGCTAAAAAGCAAAAAAGAAAGCGGTTCTGCCATGGAGGAATGCAGAGGGCATCGCCAAGCGAACCAGCCGCCTCCAGCCGTGGTAAGGAAAGGTTGTGTACTGCACTCTCTCCAGAGCAATCCGCGGAAAGAAGACAACAGGGAAGGTAAAGAGGAATGCTAAAACCCAGATCTGGCACTGCCACCGTCTCACCCAGTCCTACGTGGTCGCTCTTCAGCTCTCTGCAGTTTCTGATGTGCTTCTTCGGCACCACGAGATAATGATGTGGCGCTGCAGGCCGGATGTCTCTGAAGCAAACCAGGTCTTCATTCTAAAGGGAAAGCCGCGTGCCGGGGTCAGTTTTTAAAAGCAGTGTCCCAACACTGTTCTGGCATAATTTAAACCTCCGACCAGGAAACGGTCCTTACGTCACAAGTAAGCTCTGTTCAACTGTTTGATGATTATGCATCACGTTCATAAAAACAAGGGCTGGCATATATTATCAGATGGTCATTTATTCCGAAGACCAAAAGCCTCGCATAAAGGTAACTGCAGGAAAAGAGCTGTGAGTAAAGTTTAATGAAACTTCACTACCAACCCCAAAATTTATTTAATTTCAAGATGCATTTTCCCATCCACCTTTAATCCAAGGCCTTTCTGTGCTTAGTATGTACTTGTATAGAGGCTGAATGACACATTTACAGCCAGCTCAATGAACTCCTTTTCATATCTTTGCCAAAGGAACATTTTCCTCAGTTATAACAAGAGCATCATTTAGCATCTACATACCCAGGGATTACACTTCTAAACACTTTTGGTTCTGACCAGCTATATTATATATAAATATATTCGCTTTACCTTTATTTTCCGCTTTACAGGACTGGATTTGAACTCCTGAAACAGTCTCCAGGTACCGCAATAATGTATGGGCCCTAAATCTCACTGCTTCATGTCAGTAAAATAAAAGATGGAGGGGACCGGGGATGTAGCTCCACAGCACAGTGCCTGGCAAGTGCAAGGTCCTGCGGTCCATTCCCAGTACCGAAATGACATCCATATGCAGCAGAATTAGACCCCTTCTGGTTCTGACCTGCCCGGCAGGCTGAGCCCAGGAACAACGGCCTGTGTGTCTTTTTTGCTAGAAGCACCTTCTCATCTCTCCTGCCTTCTCACAGATTCCCACGCTCTAGCGCTGTGGGGGCCTCTCCCTATGAGTCCTTCACGCTGTCTCATTCTCCACAACATCCACTCAGCGAGACCAGATTCCAAGTCCGCACAGCTATCCACAGCTCTGAACATGACTCAGGCTCCTGTGCAGCGGGCAGCCACACCACCAAAACGCCTGACACTGGAGGCGTGTGCAGCCCAGGGACCCCGCACTGGTGCAAAAATCGTCCTCTTGACCCACTCAGCTCTGCTGACCTCCACGCCACGGTTTTACTGCATCTCCATCTGGCTTCACACAATACCACCTTCACTACAGCTCCCCAGGACTAAAATTTTAAGACAGTGTTGCCTTTTATTTTTCTCATCATGGAAACAACTGACACTTTATTACACTTTTTTATTACACTGTATACTTCCCGCAGCGAAGGCGGCTCCACGTGCCCAGGGTCCTGCACCCCGCCTCTGGCCTTCCAGAGCAGGAGGTGCACATCTCAAAAGGTGAGGTCCAGGCGGCTGCCACTTTCCAGGGCTACAGGCCTAGGTCCCTGGCAGCTTCAGATCTCTTTCCATTAGGATTTAAAAGCTTTTGCTTAAGCCCCAACTTGCTTCCGTCCCTGTCCCCTAGGTTCAATCACTGCAAACCTCCAAGCCTGGCCACTGCGCTGCAGCATTCCAGGTCGTCCTTGGTCTCACTGGCAGGAACACTGCAGAGCTCACCTCTCTGGATTTAGGGACCGGCGGAGGGTACAGGTGACAGCCCTTGCCCTGATGTCCACCTTTCTCTTAGTGTCCCGCTCTGCGCCATCCTTAGGGCTACCGTCCCTGCATCGTTGCGTTTGCTGAGAGGCCCACACAGGCCCTCCCTGCTTGTTGCTGCACAGATCCCTCCAACCTCTCATCGTATTAAATGTGTTCCCTCTCGCTGGCCTCACTTCAAGATCTATAAAATAATGGACTAGGAAGAGACGAGTCTCTCGGGGTTCTGTGGCTCCGCACCACCACCACCCCTTTTGGTACCTGAGATCGAACTGGGGACCATGCGCTTGCCAAGCAGGCGCTTACTCCACCCCACTTTTAAAGGTCCATCTACACCGTGGGAGTCCCAGCCCCGCGTGGTGTTGTACACCTGTAATCCTAGCACTCTGGGAGGGTGAGCCAGGACGACTGACTGTGAATTTCAGCCCAGCCTGGGCAATCTAGTGACTCAGCAACACTGTCTCAGAATAAAAAAAGAACAAAAGGGGGATGTGGGTCCCGCCAAGGCCCAGGCGTGGGGGCGGGCCAGGCCGCAGGACAGCCACAACAGCGCGTAGGAGGCAGCTGTCCGAAACACCGGGCGGAACACTGCCAGGATCCAGGTGCCAACGCGGCTGCACAATCCAGGCCATGGGGCTGCAGTTCAACTTCAAACCCAACCTTTCACCCTCCTCATTCTCGCCGACCCAACAGCTTTTCCCGACTGCCATTACTGTACTTATTTTCTACCAGCATTCCCATCGGCGCTGGTCCAGTATTTGGACGTGCAGAGTTTGAAACCTCTAAAAGGCCGTGCGTGGCGGCGCACACCTGAACCGAGCGGTAGAAAGGCTGAGACCGGAGGGTCGCGGCGAGCTCTAGCCAGCCTGGACTACACTAAAA